AGATTTTTGGCGAGGAGTTGTGCATGACGTGGAGACGCTACTCTGGAATTTATGGATAATGATTGGGAGAAGGAAGTGACGTACCCGATGGAGAAGAACATGTGCCGAAGAAGAAGGGCACGTAAATGACATGTTGGGCTGAAGGAAACATGGGCCATATGTCATTGGCCGACATGGGGTGAGTCAGGTGTGGTTGGTGGAATTGAATTCATTGACGTGTCCGATTTTTTGCTTTTTCTTATAAAATGCAACACACACACACACAGTTATTTGGTGGATTTGTGTTCATATATTTGTGTTAGTAATCCAACTTTATGATTGTTTTACTATATATGAAAAAAATAAAATTCACATCGTCTGGAAAATCCAAATTTGTATCATTTTCAATATTGTTTTTTAGAACTCATTTTCAATATTGGTGGGCCCAGATCAGTGGCGCAATAGAAGTTATGGCCTCTACAGCGCCCCCCATTACAGCCACAACCATCAACGAGTCTCCTCATCAATATTGGTGGGGCCATATCAAAGTAGAAAAAAATAGAAATTGCGCCCTCAATGGTGGCCCCCACATCGGCCGGTAGGGCCAACCGAGTCTCCTCATCACTGACTTTGATGTGGCGAAGTGGTTGGTCTTAGATGAAAGGAAACACAACAAAGTCGACTACAACGCGACAACAACCGAGGAAGGTTCCGAGTAGGTGCATACTGACAGGGTCATTAATCTAGGGTGCCTAACGTAAAGGAGCCCGACCTCGACCTTGACCAAGGCCTAGAGAGCATCAAGGTACCCCTGGAGGTCCCTCATGGCACTCACCCCGGCCTCCGTCAGCGAGGCCTCGCGCACTTTGCAACCCTCAATGCATGAATGAGTGTCCACAACACAGCCACTAGCGGCCTCCAGTCGCTGCTGCAAGTCAGCTACCGCCTCCTGACTTTCCTTCAACTACGAACAGAGGCCCCCAGTGATAACCTGGTTATCAGGCAGCAACTGGTCGCCGTCTGATTATAACAACTTTTGGTAGGAGCGGGCTTCGGCGCCCTTTGCGTCTGCAGCATCCTGCGTGTGAGTCGCGACCCCGCGATCCGCATCTACTTGAGCTTGCAACTGCTGAAGTTGCTTAAAGGTTGCAAACAAGGAACACAACGGGACACTCAAACACAAAACCATTGTCAGCAACAACCAGATCCAGGATTAGATAACTCACAGCAGACATCTGCCGTTGTCCTTTGTAAGCGGGCAACCCACCCTTTCTCCACCACGACGTGCCGTTCGAATTCCTAGACCTGCAGCTCTAGCTTTTCGGCATGGCTCATGGAGACCTATAACAAGCCTCAAGTACATTGATAACCAATCCACTTAAGGCCCGGGGGCTACTGGAAGGGGCAAGGGCTACCTCACCTTTCTTCTGGCCTCCAACGCTCGGCGGAGATTGGAGATGGAGGTCTGCACAAACCGACCGGAGGAACAACTTAGTTGGAGAGCAGCTTCCAGACAACGCAGAGCCGAGAATCCGCCTAAAACAACCCTAAGGGTCATGATCGATTGAACAGGGGTACCTTCTTCCCGTCAAGAGCAGCATCTCCTAGCGACCCTGAAGCATCAAGCGGCCACTTTTCTAATGGAAGCAAGATCGTGGGCGACTGAGGCGCCCGAAGGCTTGTGATCCTCTTTTTGGCTGCAAGCTTCGGTCTCTGCGATGGGATAATAATGGACCCCGTCTCCACGGGACCTATAAGAAGTAACGGGGCCTTGCCGAGGGCCCCGGAAAGGTCAGAAGAAGGCGCCGGGCAACCAGATCTGCTGGCCCCATTGAGCATGACGAGGTCAAAGCACGACGTCAAACGCGCGACCGTATCGATTGGGGAGTTGTCCAACGATCCGTTGGGCCTTTTATTTTTGCCCTCTCTTCCAATGCCATGGCCTCTATAGGCACAACTCCTAGAAAGACATCAGAGCCCGTGTCACACGAAGCCCCGATCGCAGCGGGTCCATAGCTGGCATCTGAC